TCTTCTTCTTCTTCTTCTTCTTCTTCTTCTTCTTCCTCTTCTCATTATTATTATTACTAATATTATTATTATACTCATACTACGTGCCAGACGAGAAGATGAATCACTTGTGAACAAGCTCAACGAACTGGGTCGAGCACCGTGGATGAAGAATGGGTTGTCAAAAGGTCCTCTAATACCTTCTGATCTCTCCTTATATCAGACAACTCCCCACACCACGTCATCTTTCCACCCCCTTAGAAATATCCTGATCACCAATACCTCTCACGTATTTCTTCGTTTTCAGTACCCGTCACGGTGAGTGTTTATCAAGGTAGGAACACTCAATCTTGTTGATAGAGTTTCAGAATTCAGGAACCTGTCTACTTGTTATTGGGGCGAAACAGAGTTGCAGAATAGTGGTCACCTGACGGCGATCCGGTATGGCTTACTCAAATAGAGTTTAAAGAGGCAAAAATAATTTTTGAAAGTGGCGGAAATCTTGAACGTTCGACACTTTTATATTTCGTAAATTAGTGCTTAATGCCTCTCCCGCCCCTTTTTCTGCATTCTGCAGGACACTTTTTAGACGATGTATTGCAGATTTTAAAATGATGATGATGATTATGATGATGATAATGAGAAGAGGAGGAAGTTAAGGATAAGAATGAGAAAGAGAAAGAGAAGAACGTTTGTGATGAAAAGGAGGACGAAGGAGAGATGGCGGCCAAGAGTAAAATGGGGATAAGAAAAAAGAATGATGCCTTAAAAAAAAAAAAGACATTGAGACGAAACAGTGAACACAATTACGGAAAAAAAATATCAAGTAAATACATGTGAAGTAAAATAACCATTTCGTTTGCAAAACATCGGCCATGAGCTATTCTTGTGCCGTCTGTAGAAATGTTTACCATCTGTTTATTCCTAGGTACAGTCATTAAACTGACTGACACAGCAAGAAAGGCTATAAAGACGCAGTAAAAATGTCTTTAATTGGTACAAAAACCCAGTTTATCTGAGCTGCCTTCCCTTCATACGGATATATTTTTAGTATTGTGAATGAGTTTTTTTCTTCAAGCGAAACGTAAGGCTGTCCAGAAAATTACCATGCGTGTTTACTTTCAGCTTTCAGCTTTGAGACAATGATTTTAGATAACTGAGTGTTGCCATCCGAGCATGTGGCCTTTGCAATTTTAGGTACAAGTGCTATAAATATCATCTCGGAAACTTGGACGAAGCTGCCAGACAAAAACAAAATAATTTGAATTAACGTGGCCCTTGCTGGACGCAATATCCGTTCTCCTTGGACTTAGTTCCCATAGCGGTTAAACATTATTACTTATACTCAAAGAGAATAGGACTTTGAAAAGAATGTGCTCCCTTTAAGAAGTTTTCCAACAAAAATCTTTTAAAAATCATAGTAAAATGTACAGTTTTTAAAACTGACTCTGCCCTCACAGGCAATCAGTAAAACATTTCGTATGATCAGAATCCGCATAAATATGCTGTATTTTACACCGTGTAGAAACTTCTTTCCACAGCCCATAAAATTGAAAGAGAGAGAAAGAGAGAGAGAGAGAGAGAGAAAGAGAGAGAGAGAGAGAGAG